ACTTTGACTGTCTATTGAACAACCTTTCAGAGATCGACTGGCCTACATTGAATGGCATGAAGCAGCACGATGTGAAGGCGAGTATGGCGGACACGCCGACACGGGATGAGACGCAGAGAGCACTTGCTCAGCTGCGAAACGGCAAATGTGCCGGAGGTGACGGGATCCCACCTGAAGTATTGAAACACGGTGGACCCGCGTTGGTGACTGCGCTGCACCACTTGGTGCAACGCGTGTGGATTGAGGAGGAGGTGCCTGCTGAGCTGAAGGATGTCCTTGTGCTACCACTGTATAAGGGCAAATGGAGCAAGCAATGTTGCACGAATTATCGTGGCATCAACTTGCTGAGTTGTGTGGGCAAGGTGATTGCCCGAATCCTGCTCAGTCGCATCGTGAGTCAGATTGTGGAACCAAACGTGGCGGAAGAGCAATGTGGATTCCGTTCGGGTCGCAGCACTATAGATATGGTGTTTGCGGCTCGTCAGTTGCAAGAGAAGTGCAGAGAACGACACCAGCCATTGTACTCGCTTTTTGTTGATTCGGCCAAGGCATTTGATACGGTGAACCGCGAGGCATTGTGGCTGGTGTTGGGTAAGTTTGATTGCCCGCGTAAGTTTGTAAGTTTACTTGAATGTCTGCACAGTGGTATGCGAGCGAGGGTGCAGCTGATTGGAGAGACCTCGGATGACTTTGCAGTTGTCTCTGGTGTGAAGCAAGGCTGTGTCTTAGCTCCTGCCCTGTTTAATATTTATCTTCATGCAATGATGTCTTGTGCTTTTGATGCCGCTTGTGCTTACGGTGTTCGTGTGGAGCACCGTATTGATGGTGGGTTGCTGAACATCCGTCGTTTCGGTGCGAGAACTCTAGTCTGTGAGACAACTGTCCGTATGTTGCTGTTTGCTGATGACTGTGCGTTGTTTTCAGACAGCGCGGATGAGTTGCAGCACATGACTAGTGCTCTGGCTTCGACAGCGGCCAAATTCGGGCTCACCATCAACAGAAGCAAAACTGTCTGTCTCTTTCAGCCTTCACCGGAGGTGCAATCTTCAATATTGCCGCAAATCAGCATTGGTGCTGAAGTGTTGGAAACCACCTCCCGCTTCTGCTACCTTGGGAGTGTGATGTCGACTGATCAGCACTTACACGCTGAGTTGCGTATTCGCGTGTCGAAGGCGGTAGCGGCATTCGGGAAGCTAGAGTACCGAGTGTGGAACAACCATAAGCTTACCGTTGGCACGAAGCTGATGGTGTACAAATCCATGGTGCTGTCCGTTCTTCTGTACGGCAGTGAAACGTGGACGATGTACCGTCGGGATGTGCGATATCTCGAGCGGTTCCATCAGCGGTGTCTGCGACGAATTTTGCGCATTAGTTGGGGCGACCTGCTCTAGTAGATGGTCTACACAAGTTGGTAGCAAAACTTTGGGAGCAGGAGACAGTCCCGACAGACTTGAACCGTTCCGTCATCGTCCCAATTTTCAAGGGAAACTCCCGTTTGGAATGCGGCAATCATAGAGGGATCAGTCTGATTTCGATTGCCTCTAAATTGCTTGCCTCTGTCATTCTCCACAGACTGACTGGCACTCGTGAAAGCCAGATTCGTGAAGAGCAACCTGGATTTCGTCGAGGTCGTGGCTGCATCGACCACATCTTCACCTTGCGTCAAGTGTTGGAGCACCGCCATGTTTATTGGCGACCCATCGTTGTCGTGTTTCTTGACATAAAAGGTTCATTAGACTCAGTCGATCGATGTGCCCTTTGAGACTGTCTGCTGAGGAAAGGTGTGCCTGATAAATATGTAAACATTATTAAAGCGCGGTACGCGCATAGTTCGGGCAGGGTGAGGGTTTATGGCAAACTGTCGCCACCCCTCAGTATCACCAGCGGTGTGAGACAAGGTTGTCCGCTGTCACCTTTCCTCTTCAACTTCACTATTGATGAAGTCATGGAAACAGCGTTCGCTGGACACGACCTAGAAGGTGTGGAGCTCTTTCCTTGTGAGCGACTTCTTGACTTGGAGTATGCGGACGATATTGCCCTAATCTGTGACAGCTTCCAAACATGCCAAACAGCACTGGATCGATTAGCACTGGCTGTCAATCGTTTTGAGATATGCTTCGCTCCATCGAAATGCGAAGTACTTCCCCAAGATTGGCAGGGACCCAACCCTGCGCTAACGCTTGGTAGTGATCTGCTAGAAGTCGTTCAGGAATTCAACTACCTGGGCAGCTATATTACCACCCGTGGGATTGAAGATGAGGTTACGAACCGTATAGCAAAAGCTCGAGGTGCTTTTGCCAATCTCCGCCACCTGTGGCATAGACGCGACATTACTCTCGCCCTGAAGGGCAGAGTTTATAACGCAGCCGTCCGTTCAACTCTCCTATATGGTTCTGAAACCTGGCCCATCAGGTCGACAGACATGAAGAGGCTCGTCATATTCGATCATGGCTGCCTTCGCAGCTTAGCTCATGTCTGGTGGAAACACCGCGTGAGCAATGATCGTGTTCGACGTCGCGTATTTGTTGCAGGAAGAGCGAGTGAACCGCTCAGCACCATTATATCACGCACCAGGCTCCGATGGTTGGGCCACGTGTTGCGCATGCCAGCACACCGAGTTCCGCGACGTGCATTGTTTGCGCGTTGTGGGTGCGGTTGGAAGAGGAGGAGGGGAGGCCAAGCGATGAGTTGATCGAGAGAAATGAAAACCCTCACTTCGAAGTTGGTGTCGGTTGGTGCATCCCGACTGTCTGGCTGGGGTCCTAAGGACGGTGAACACGTTTGGTTGGACACACTTGCTGATATAGCTCGGACCCGGCATCAATGGCGTTTGTGTTGTGTTTTTCTTTGCCCATCCCCCTCCTGTTTCGCATCCCCCTCCAATCACGATCTCACTTGATAGGCATAATACGAGTTTCTTTCACGGCAGCCAGCTGTTAGCTCTCCGGAACGATGTCCATCCGTTACTGGGGACTCAGCCGACGTGCCACTGTTTGTTTTCCTTTTCTTGTCTTCTGTATTGCGGCACAATGGCTGAGGTGTTTTCCACCTCCAGCTGACGTGTAATGATGATGATGGGGCGACATAGCTGCTGACACAGAAGTGTTGCGACAAAGTGGGATGTATGCAGTGGACTGCATACTTATACTGAGACACCTGAGGTGGCTCGGTCATGTGTGGCGTATGGATTCAACGCGGATATCGAAACAACTCTTATACGGTCAGCTGAGTATAGGGAAGCGACATGTGGGGAAACCAGTTACATTACCAAGACATGATCAAAGTGAGCCTCTCGCGTTCTAATCTTGATTGCAGGTCATGGGAATCAAAGGCGGTTGATCGGCGTGCATGGCGCGATCTAATCACGAAGGCAGTTGCTGAAGTGCGGGCGAAAGCCCTCATGCATGCAGAGAAGAAGCGGCAAGTGCGGAAACGGCAAGCACCAATGAATTGTTCTCCATCGACATCGAGCGCATTGTGCTGTAGAACATGCGGTCGCGAGTGCCTGAGTCAGGCAGGCCTAGTGAGCCAAGAGCGAGGCCACTCGGGACCACTACCGAAGCGACGACGGGTCCTGCAGGGAACGTAGGCAGAACGGGCGCAGCGTTTGTAGGTGCACTGCATTCGATTTAATAACCGCGTGCTTGCATGCTAAGTCTCTTTATTTCAGGTGGTGGGTTTTCAATTTTGTCCTAATGCTTTTCTTTCCCATATAAATGCCTAATTATACCCTCTTCTATACACTTGCACACGTCGCTTAAGCCACTTGTAGTTATTTCGATAACATTTTCGTGTTTGCATCATCTCCGGAAAATAAATTTCCTGACCTCGTGAACTTACCTCGTATTGGTTTGTGGACAACTTATTTCAAATGCTCCTTAATTTAAGATTTCTGTCACCGTTTCCTTATGCATTACGCGATTTATTTTCTTGGTTATCTTTCTCTCCAGTGATTGGCTGTTGTTTGACATCCCCGGTGTGGCTGCGCTTGATGTGCATGTTGACAAGGTGCCTGCCTTTCTATTACCCACTACCTCGTCCATACTGGCTCCAGGAGACTGTTGGTCGTTGCTGGAGGTGACGGGGTGCACGGTCCTTGTGATCGTGCTAGGCTCGAAGGGTGGTTCCATGCACTCAGTGTAGAGCGGACCACAGTCCAGCCACCGTCTTGTGTGCGATTGATTCCCGAAATACAGCGTGCTTGTGTTCACCTGTGAAGGAGTGTGGGCCGGCTCCGTTGATGAAACGCGGCTCCCATCCACATGTCTTCCGGTCTTATTCCTTCGGGTTTACACTGGATATGGGGTGTGTGGACGGATCTGTGCGTGGTGCAGCGCAAGCCATGCATTGTCCCTCTGTAGGCGCAGGCGTCCTGTGGCTAGCCACAGTGACAGACGAATCCGAAACCGGATGCCACCAACCATATATATATATATATATATATATATATATATATATATATATATATATATATTTATATTTATATATCCTGTTTTTGATTTATCATGGGAAACCGCGTTATTTAATGCTGCGACATAATGGACTCACTTTTACTGGCTTTCTCATTTTGTCCCAATGCGCGCAATTATCACCGCATAGTGTTTGCACTTTTTCGATCATGTCGTTTATGTTTCTTACTTGCTGACGGAGAACATAGATGGTATATCAGTTGGCATCTTCTCACTGTTCAACTGTGCATTTTTTATCCAACCTTCCAACGGTAACTTATGGGTTTAAGATAGTCACGCAGCTCGTGAGTGCACCAACTTTCAGCCTAATGATTTCCTCCTTTTTTAATTAGTTATCCGATTTTTTTCATCCATCTCTGTTTATTTCGAACCGTTGAATATCGTTTCTCTACACATGTAATTTCCGTATCTTTGGCTCACTTGTTTTCTATGCATCCGTGACTACATCCAGTTCTTCACACACCACTTTCCACTCACTGCTTTCAGCTTTCTCATTGATACCCTGCGCATCTTCTCGTCCCATGTCTACTCATGGCCTTTTTACACTCATTTCCTACGCGTTCGGAAGCACCGTTGGATGTTTGGGGTTCGTTCGACCGTGTGCATGTAGTGCTTATCTCTTTTTGCAGAAGTCGATAGTTCGGAAATTCAGTTTTCAGAGTGGAAGTACTGCAAAAGTCCGCTACCCACTCCTGTGTGGGTTCGACGCTACTGTGTGTGTCTTGAGAATGAACAAACATTCCTGCTCTTCCGCTCTTATCAGGTAGGTAGCACTTCCTGTGGTGCACTTCGTTTGATGTGTTTTCGAATTCGTCTCCGTCAATGCATCCCGTACTGCTACAATTTCAGGACTCTTTGAAGCGGCCCTCTGCAGCGCATATCCCTGTTGCTATACTTGGGAGGTTTGCAGACGAACATCTTGCAGTAGAGAAAAATGGATCGAGGTATCGGTGGCCTTCGGACAATGGTATGTCAGTGGCATTCTGACGATCTATGCTCTTCTTATGTACTATTGATTTTCGAATACTCCACTGGCATGTGAACAACATGACTTGTTCTGTACCAATTAATGATAATCCAGGCATTGAAATTTAGTACATCCAGTCACCGTCGCACGTTTCGTCGCCGCGACTAACAGGGATTGGGGAACTGGATAGGGAAGAACTCACGCACGGTGTTATAGGCATTCGACAGAAAAGAATACATTTATTAGCCTACCGTATCGGAGTGTATGTAAGCCCGTGGTTGGTTTCGCAACTGTGTCGTGTCGAAACCAATCCCTAACGACTGTTGTTGTCACTCATACTGTGGACCCTTTCCGGAACAAGGATGTGAACCTGCCTGGCCAAAGACTGCGGTCATTTTTCCCGTTATCTTTCATCACTTCATCCGCAGACCACCTTGCTGCTTTAATATGGAACACTCTCGAAAGGGACCATACTCGACGGCGTAGACGATGAGTGGACATTCAAATAGGTTAACCTAATCGGCTGGCTGGTTTCTAATACTGCACTGCGTTGGCTGAATCCTCTTGGTGGACTGCTGATGCTTCGTCTGAAGTGCACGAAGCAACATGTAGAGCGATGGAGTTGGGTTGGTACGTGTCGTGTTTCTTTACCTAGTCCTTGTGGTCGGCTGTATCAGTTGTTTGATATCCTGTCGAACAGGGTGGCGGCACAAGATCGGCGGCACCTTTGTATTCGTTACTTCCTTTTAGATACTTGACTGCTCTATCAGCGATCTTAATCATTTTCTTCCAAAATTATAATCATATTTTATCTTTTCATTACTTTGGCTAGGGAAGTTAGTGTGGTTCGGCTTACTGCACGGATTGTAGTTGATCAGTTGATCTGAATTTCACTGTACTGAACCGGTTCAGGTTCTAATGCTCATCTACTGTGGCATCGGAAATTGGTTTGCCAAATACTAACTAGCGTGCTTCCAAACCGTGCGCTCGATATTCCCACCGGCTCGATATCGCTCTTGTAAGCCCCATGTTCGTCACCGGTCTGTCTCTTTGTTACCCACACCGTTGTACACTTTACGTTTGGTACAAACCATTGCCCCTTTACCTAAGCTTGCTTTGTTTGGCTTAGATGGTCAATCACAACAGCAGTACGTTTGTTGTCAAACACCGACTGGTTAAAATGAAGTATACACTCTTCTCGCGTCTGGTTTGTCTCCACTTACGGAACTGTCGGCCGGTGGCCGAGTGGTCTGCACGTTTGGTTTGCAACCATAAGGTCACCGGTTCGGATCCGCGTAGGGGTGGGCATTCTCGCGGTATACTCAGCCCGCGCGCGACTGGTGATGGTCGCGCGGCAGCGAAGCGCCGTTACGGCGTACAGCTGACACATTAGTTTATTTTTTGTTATTATTACTTATGGAACTATCAGTCTTAATTGCAAATGATGGTCCCCGTCAGTTGTTTTTTGTACATGTAGATAATGATAGTATGCCTTTTCTGAACGATGTGAACCCTTGTCTTCTTCCCATCACCGCGCTACAGTACTTTCTTCAAGTGGTTAGCTTCAATGGGAATCATTCCCATACTATCTCCCAATACATTTTGACCAACTAATGGATTGTGTGTGTGGCTGGTTGTCTTCTGCATTTTCAAATTTCTTCTGGCGTCGTCACTTTTCGTTCGATGGCTTTTATCCACCTGTTTTCGACTAGCGATTTGCTTCTCCAATCGTTCGATCTCTCTCTTCACTTCTTAAAGCTGAGGAAGTGGAGCCGCCGGCTCCTCTCATTTGTCCATCGGCGTCTGGCCTCTAAACCCCTTACTCCCTGCATAGCTTTAGGCTTCCTTACTGTGACCCAACCCGCATACAATCCCTTGTAGTTGCGAGACTGCAAAGCGTCAGTACATGCTACCATGCCAATGCACAGTTGGTAACTTAAAGGTGTGCAATTCGACCGTTTTGTTAGCCTGTGGAGCCGCCTTTTTGCTATCCTGCCCATAATTGACATTTACCACTTTGGGAATTGGTTCCTTGCTTGGATGTATCTCTTATTAAAGGCCGAATTGTGTGCCACATCATTGTTCATGTGCTTTTGTTGTATTGGCATGTAGGTGACCTTCCTCAGCTTTCTGCATTGGATACTGGGTATCCTCGGAGAGCAATCGCTTATATGCGGTAGCAACACCACGTTTGCAGCGATGAAATTGGGCATCATGTCTGGGAAAGGCTGCATACTTGTATTTAGGCTTGTCCCACCTATCGGGATGGCTTAGTCACTTACTAAGAACCTTATTTGACCGTTGGCCTTGGTGCACGTTATCTTCTCTTGCGGGGCTGCACTGAAAGCCACTGGATGACAGCACCTGAGCACTTTCTATCATTTGTGTCATGCGTCTTTTTAAATGTTGACCCGAGGGCGACGGTTACGTGACGGATACGTGAAGTGATAATATTGAACCACAGATTCAGTGTCGGTCTTGTGCATGCCGCCGATTCAACGCACGTTGTTTTGCATACGATTGCCTCCCCTTCGTGGTTGTCCGATATCCGCAAAGTGTAGGCGCGTTAAACTATTCATTTGAACATGTAGATCCCACACTATATTTTTCCTTACCTGTTGGGGTAAGGCCGATGTTACTTTATGGATCAGAGACCTGACCAGTTCGCGGCGATGACATTAAACGCTTGGCCATGTTTGATCACCGGTGCTTGCGGAGTATTGCTCTCGTCTAATGGGAACACTGGGTCAGCAGTGCTGAGGTCCACCAGTTTGTTTTCGGCAAGGATCCTTCTGGTGCCTCTCTCGAGTGTTTGCCGAATCTTAATCGCTTAAATTGGTTAGGCCACGTCTTCCATATGCCCATTGATCGGCTTCCTTGGCGTGCCTTATACGCTCTGGCTGCACCATGTTGGGTGAACCCGCAAGGTGGCCAATTCATGATGTGGCATAGCGGCATGAAGAAATTGTTTGAGAGACTTGGTCAGGCGGGTGTATTCCGTATCTGACATGGCACAGTCATGCAGTGGGTGGCGTTCTTGCATTCGATTTTTGTCATCTGGTTGTTAAATTTCGCTCCATTCTGTTTACTTTGACGCACTTCCTCCTTGCTCCCATTTTCTTTACATTATGTTGCCTTTTAACCCTTTAATCGTTAACGATTGTTATCCTTTCGATGGGAGTTGTGGCAACTGGATCCACCGCACTTCGGTGCTCGGATCATACTTGATCAACTGATCTGAACTGAACTGATTTGATTTGTGCATATGCGTTAGTGTCAACGGTTTCCCATTTCTAGTCACTCACGTGACTCACTCCGTCATTTGACCACAGCTGTTGTTGCTGCTTCGATCCACGGTCACGTCGTCGCAATCTGATGTTGATGGAGTCGACTTTTCCAAATACATCATCATCATCATCATCCCCATCATCATCAATACACGTTAGCTGAGGGTAAGAAATACACCTCAGCTAATGTGCCACAATACAAGAATGATAAGATACTAAATATTGCACCAGAAAAACAAATAAAAAGCATGTAATATAGTGTTAAATATCATACTGATTACTGGTTGGAAGCAGCAAATAGAGGTTCCTCTGTGTATCTGCATCTAATGTCACTCAGGGACAAAGACCCATTGTGTTGTGGTACGCTCGATATATTCTGTCTCGGCGAAGTGTTTGTCCAGAAATTTCTTAAATTCCGAAACTGACTTTACCTCAACTACGTGCTGCGGCAGGCCGTTCCATACATTCACCACTCTCCGTTCGAAACAGGTTTGGTGAGCGACCCGCTTCAAATCCGGTACGACAAGCTTGTACCGGTGTCCTCGTGTATTGCTTGGTGTACGCAGTTGAAGCAGCGAACTCAACATGGGGTAATGCCCTAGATGTAATATCCGGTGCGTCATGATTAGGTCAACCCTCAGTCGACGATAAGCTAGGGTGTACAGCCCTAGTTTCTTACACCGATCTTCGTACGGTACACCTCCTAAGTTGGGAATCAGCCTGGTGGCTACGTGCTGCACACGCTAATCTTTTCTACCTCACCCTGGGTGATAGGACAATACATGGGAGAGCCATACTCTAGCATTGCCCGCATTATTGAGACGAAGAGGTGAATGGCAATCTCTTCGGACCGAGTGCTGAAGCTGCGCCTGAGCGCCCAAAGCACACGAAGGCTGTTTTGCTAAATCCTATCCATGTTATCCATGGACTTTAGGTCAAAGCGTGAGAGTATACCGAGGTCTTGCACGAAAGGCACGAAATGCAACAATTGACGGGTCACCGTGCAGCTTCCACTGTGCTCACACTTACCCAGCCTCATGAATTGTGACTTGACCGGGTTGATCGAAAGGTTGACCTCTGCATACCACGTGGAGAGGCAGTCGAGGTCTTGTTGTAACAGGTCACCATCATTGGGTGTGCGGATTACTCTCCATATCTGCGCACAGCGCACAAGGTGATTGGGGTAGCTGAAGCACATCGTTTACATGGATGAGAAATGAAATCGGCCCCGATACAGTGCCTTTGGGTGCGCCACTGCTCGATGGATACCAGTCGGTCAAATAGTTGTCCACCTGGACCTTCCACTTTCGATCAACAAGGAAAATCTTGATCCATTGATATAGTGAGCCGCCAACACCTCACACTCAGCCTGTCGAGGAGTACTGCATGATTTACCTTGTCAAAAGTCTTACTAAAGTCAATATTATTTATTATTATTATTATTATTATTCGTTTGATATGAGATCGTAATTGGATGCGGAATCTAAAGGCGAGGAGTTGTCAAACAAACTTACAACACAAACGCCTTAAGATCGGCTCTTCGCCATATCAACAGGTATGTCTAACCAAACGTGCTTATCATCTTCCGGTCCACAGCCTGGCAATCGGGATCCACCAACCGACACCAACTTCAAAGTGTGGGTCTTCATTCCTCTCAGCCACCTCATTGCTTGGCCTACCCTCGTTCTTTTCCATCCGCACACCCGGCGCGCA